CGCACAGGCACACATACACACACTCATATATATAGCGATTTCATTCATTAGTTTCATGCTAAGGTAGGCTGGTAGTGCAGAGTCACCCTTAAACTGTGACGACCTGTTTTTAACATCCATTCTGCCTATTTATCGGATTGTATGAACAGGATCCATGTCTGGCTTTGATTTCATTTCCTCTTCTCTCTGAATTTTAAGCCAATTCAGCATACAATTTATGATGGAATGTAAATTTCTATGAAATTTTGTATTATTTTATTATAGTCTTGGGGAATTTAAATTATTGAAGAGTATTTCATCACTTTTAACCGTAGCTTAAGATTAACCTTCTTCCTTTGGTCTTGTCCTATTCATTTGTATTTGGTGCCATTCGGGCTTTTTACCCTCCAAGTATAGGCTCACAGGACTTACCGGTAGGGATCCGTACTTCACATTTTGTGCATACCTTTCAAATCGTCTCTATGTTTATACATCACCTTTATTATATGCCTACATTTTTTTAATTAACTTTTCAACCTTCCCACCACTATACCACCTATTCATTTTTTGCGGTATACTCTTGCTTTCTCTTCATCATGGTGTCTTCTCTATACTTCCCTCTCATTTTTAGGTTTATCCTGTCCTTCCAGTTGCAGCGGTCGTTTCATCTTCCGCTTCCCACTTCCCACCGCTTCCCCTCATCTTCTCACATTTCAACAACAGGCTGAAGAGGCTAGGCTAGCCGCCTGGGAGGACTACTTCGACCAATATGGTCGTGGCATAAGCATGTATCGCACCGAGACGCTGCGCAACCTCGTTCTAACTGGTCTGCCTGAAAGTCTGCGCGGCCGGCTTTGGATGACGCTAAGTGGGGCCGAGAATGAGGTGATTTAAGCAGCATGCTTATGGATTACATAAAATTGGGTATGCTGAATGTATACATGAGGAAAAGCTGGTTTTCGAAGAATCCCTTAATAATTTAATGCAACTTGGCTTTTACTTTCAAACTAGAAGTTGGCTTGAGCGGATTCATGAATTGGCCTCACCAGAAACCGAAGGGGGTCGCCTTGGAGTGGCGATTGCTGGATTGAGCTAAGGAGTATGTTTTTATCATTCTGAGAATGCGACTAAGCCGATTAGAACTTTCATTTACCATTTGACGAACATCTTCATAGCGATAAACCATATTTTTCCAGAAAAAATCTATTTAATGAAGAGAAAAGGTGGCCTCTTGCCAATACATTTATTTCTTATAACGAATTTTGTCATATTAATGAGGCACCCCATGACTTGTTTGACTATGACATGTCTACCCCACATAAGGATGAATGAAGTCGATGCGAAACAAGGATGAAGATGTAGTCACAGCCGTCCTCACATAAATAAATTAGCATTTGATCCTACAACTTTGATGTAAGCTGACGTGTATTGTGTGTATACAATGTTATACTTGTGTGAAGTCTGAGTACTAAATAATTTGGAAAGAAGTTGTTTGACCTTGGTTTCGCAACTTGGTCATATTAGCTGGAAGACCTAGAGGAACGCACCTTGTCCGGAGTCCATAGTATGCATGATCATTTCCAGAGTCGGACCGTGGACTTGGTACATTCCGAGACGTTTTGATGGCATCATCAGTGAGTCTTGCCAGTCTCAGCAACCAGGTTACAACTCGTCAAAGAGCCAAGTGAAGCCAATCCCTTGACCAACTTTCTGTCGAAACGGTTATGCTGTTACTCCTCGTTTTGTCCTGGTCCCTC